AAAATATTAAAGTAAAAAAAAAAAAAAATGTTAATTTATGTAACTATTTTTGTATTTAACTACACAAAAATTTAAACTAAGCTAACTTGTTAGCAGTTGAATCATTGAGTTACTTTAAATTTCTATTCGATTAAAATTAATTTATTCCATTAAATAATATTTAAAAGAAAACTATACATACTTAAAAATAATAAAAATACATTTTTAACATTAATCTAGTATAATTGTATTTTATTATTCTGATAACTTGTGTATCAGATTGCTCAAAATTACTAAAACTTACTTAATAGTTTTTAACATTTAAAATCTTTTCAGTATGAGATAGAAAAAATCATACTTGAATTCGGTGTGAGAAAAGTATAAAAGAATAAAAAAGATAAAATGAATTGCTCATTTTAAAATAAAAGCCTGCATAATGTTCCTTCGGGGAGAAGGCGTTTATTGCTGAAGTTTTTGCTAAGTTGCGGGACTTTTAATAAACGGATAGTCCAATAGCTATGAGCCTTGTCACACAACGACGAACTTTTATATAACTTTGTGTACGTTCTCTCCGTTTAATGCATTATAATAACACCGTATTTAGTTTGTACGTAATGTGTATACGAGTAGGTGCTATTATTTGCTGAGTAAAAAGTGATATATACATAATATAACAGTCAAAACGAAATGTCGGAATATTAAAAATGAAGACTTAAAGGGAAGTTTTGTTTTTTTTTCATTCTTATATTCATATTTATATCACATTTTATACATCCGAAAAATAAACGTGTTTATTCTAAAAGAGCTATTCTAAATTGTTTTGTATCCACGATATTGACTTGTAGGTATTACACTAAGTTTAATGACTAGTTTTGGTTCATTAAGCAATACGGTTTATGGGACAACTAACCGGAAAAAACATCAAACTTGTTTTAAAACGAGATGTAAACTAATGGTATTTACCCAAAACTTAAATCGTACAAGTTAATACGAAAGTCCCTCGAGACAACGTAGTTGTCTTTTCTGTGACACTTAAAACTATTTAGGTCCTTAATCATTCGCCTTCTGATTAATACTAATGAACTGAAAACATTGAACATCAAAATTTATCTTTAGTTTATCGATGAGCTTGATTAATCTTATAAGTTTTGTAAATTATTGAGAACATAACAATTTAATATAATACTATTCACTTATTTAGAACAAATTAACACGAACTATTCAGAATATAAAAGTAATTGATTATTTGAATAAGTTCAAAATATTGATATTTAAAAAAAAATTAAGTTATATTTACTTGATTGGTGTATGGATTAAAAATATTGAATAATTTAAACAAAGTGTGTAATTAATTAAAATTAATATTATTTTATACTTTATTTTTAATATAATTTATGAATTAAGCTTTTAGTACATGTGTTCATAATTCCTATTTAATTCTCAAATTATCGATAATATACTCAACTCGTATTAATATAAACAGCGTTTCATGTAGCAGTCTTACATTCTATACCTATTATATAGGTCTGTATAAAGAAAATTCACTAAAATGTTTAATCAAATCAATAATACATGAAAATATTTTTATGTTTTTCTTGATGTTTTAGCCAGATTGCAAAATACTATTAGAGTGGAAATAGTTATACAATTAATAAATATATATATATATATATATATATACACGAGTATATGTAATATATATTATATATACGTATTACATGTAATATAATATACCATGGCCATCATGTTAGTGTGTTAGCGTATAATTACTATAATGTTCTCTCTATATTGGATGTTATCTGTTCGAGTTCAAAGGAAAATTCCGATTCAAATGAAAACACGAAAACTGCAAAGGAACTCTTACTAAATAACACATCAGATTTCAACTAGCTGGAGACCGGACAGTGTCACCCCCGTATACCCTGTTACCCCGTCAACTCGACCACGATTCTCGTTTCCCCGATTCGGTTATAAAGACCTTTGTGTGACGAAACCCTATAACACAGTACTATAGGCGCTTACAACTGCTGTATAAGAAATGTTTTATTACAGTTGCGTAATTAATAATAAAATACTATACCGTTAATTAATATCTACCGTTACGCATTTGGTAGCACCAACATCGTGATAACCCAACACCGCCTCCCACAAGCCAGTACTATTCATATCCTCCTCCCGCGATCTTTTTCTCCACTCACTACTGTTTGGTACACACATACACACCCGACCGCCAACCTGACCCTTTTCTCTGCTATACCGACTGGCTGGAAGTGTTTTGCCTAACCGTGCGAAATCTTCGGTATTTGTACACCTGACAATACGAAAACATAAACCACGGTGCACAATCCTCCACCACCAGTCGTGTGTATATATAATAACTTGCCGTGTAAACTCACGACCGCCTTTAATGAGCGCAAACACGCGCGACGGGGATTACAAAATGGTGTAAACTACCGGACGCGACGAAAAACTTCAACTGAATTGTAGTAACAATAATATTATTTTCTTAAACCAGCCACTGAAACTGAGAGCTGAATGCAATTTGTTTGTAAAAAAAATTATCATTAATCGTTATTACAATATTATTACAATATTTTGTAACTGCGACAGACAGACGTTTCCTCTAGTTATTGATCGTCGTAATTGCGTCTATAATTCTATCGGAGAGGTATAGTTAGTATAACATGTAAACATTAATTGATCATAATAACAATAAACAAAAAAATCATGAATACTGCTAACGATATACTTTGTTTATATTTAAAACTTCTGGTTTTAACACGTAATATCTCGGATAGTTTTAATAAAATATTTACACACATAATAATAATATATTTCGATATTCGTGTGAAAACACGAGATTAATTTTTAGCAAATATGTCCTTTACTCCAAATATAAAAGTACGTGCTTATATGATAATCGAAGACATTATTGTATAATATCCAATCTAAAATACCGTTAACATACCGTGTTATTTCAGTGAAAAACAAACATTTCGAAATAATCTGTATAATATTTTGAATGAATTAATATTTTTGTGTAATAAAAACACCTAAACCAGACCTTAGTCGTTTTATTTACCTATTAGTTAAACGTTATATGTATGTAATGTATACAACATAGATGTCTATATTTTGTTTCAAACCAGATGTAGGTATTATGTAATTTACCTTAAGTGAGATGGGTCAGTGTTCATTGCTGCAGGTCTAATGAAAATATCACGAAATTTAATATTGATGCGTTTTGAACACGCTATACTAGGACACGATAAAAACTTGTAAAATGAACACCCTAATTGAGATATACTACCCACTCCAGAAAGATAAAAAAAAAAAAAAAATGAAAACACCATACATTTATTTTTTTGAAGGGCTAGTCCATTAATAATGATTTTGTCTACTGTCTTCAATCGTAAAAATAATTTTTTACAAATATAAATTTCATTGGCAGATCATCACGATGATTACAAGTGAATAAAATATTGAACAATGCGAGTATATATGTTTATAGATAATTTATTGGCGATGCCGTGTTTTTAAAACTTAATCAGATTCGTCACGTGTGCATATACAGTTTTCAGTTTGTAATGGTCAATTTAAAATCATAGGTATGCGTTGCAATCAATTCCGAGTAATCGTAATTTGCTTATTGAAATTTTTATGGCTAAAACAAATAAAATATGAAATGAAAATTTTAAAAAGAAGATTCAGTGTGACTCAAAATAGTCGAGTGGTGAAACAAAAATCTGGTAGAAACTGGATTATTATAAAATTCAAAGCTAGTACTATTTAATTATTTTTTGAGTAATTTAATTGCATTGAATGAGTGGTATAAAAATGAAGTGGAAAGCAAAGCGCGGTGATGAAAAATAAGGGTGAAAGTATGAACAAGGATGGTGGAGGTAGTGGTGGTGGTTCAAAAGCGAGGACTCTTGATTCACGGTGCATAGGGGAGTGTAGAGGACTTAAGCCTCTGACGACGATATATGCTATCGCGTTATGAAAGATGCACGTCAAATAGGTCTTACGGGATAGATGAGGGGATGGCTTTTTATCGGGAAGCCAAGGATCACGCGTCCGAGAAATTCCATGTCTGTAACGTACCGTAGAAATCTAAATCTAAATCCGAAAAAAAATAAACAAACAATGGAATAAAATATATGATTTTAAAAGTTGAGCATTACGCAATTGTTGGTTTTGGGATCCTGTCTTTAACGGTGAATTTTACTTTGACATTTTTTTATTATTATTATTATTATTATTATTGCAGTGTATCTATCTCCCCGATATCGGAAACAAATGAATTCGCTAATTGCTGAAGTCATTAGTAAACTAGTTGGTATTATCAGAATGGATGAAATTCACATAATTTATTATTAAAAACGAACATTTCACAGTCATGCGCGACACGTTTAGTTAGCATCAGAGATATAATTTAATATCCGTATAATTAAATTTTAGTTTCCGAAAGATGAACGCAAAAAAACACATTTTTATTAAAAAAAAAAAAAAAGAGTCTTTTCGAGAAACTCATTTCCGTAAGACTACAGAGAAAAAGAAAACGGGTGCCGTTCGCATTTTCCACATTATGGTCTTTTGGATGCTGTTCGATGGATGACGTATAGTACATCGTAATAAACTAATAACACATGCTACAGCGACGAAGCGGAGTACGATTTAAGTCGTTATAATGTGCGACAGGTGTTGAGCCTATATGCCTCACGGAATATAAGGTATATAATATGATTACCTTTTGTCACTTTTTTATTTTTATCAATTGTCTCCGCGCACAACAGTTTACGGACAAAATGTCATATACGTACCTACCTACAATTTATATTATCATACCGACGTATAGACCCGTATTTGGATTCCCGCGTGGGTATGACACGCTCACCGTGTACACTCCCAGTTATAACCGACAAAGTTACCTGGGTCGTGGCTTAGCAAAAGTCAGTCGTAGGTACAGTACAGCAATAACTATATAGTTATCGTAATATTATCGGTGATGTTATTCTCACCTGCGGGCGCGTAGACAGCCAGGACGCAGACCGCGACGACGGCGGCGGCGGCAGCAATCTTTGGCCGGCGGTCGGGTGACGGTCGCATGGCTGCAGACCGTGTATAGCGCAGACGAAAAAAGTCAAGTCCGCAGCGGTGGACTCGATGGTTCAACACCACAGCAGCGGTGGTTGACAGTCGTCGTCGGACGGCGACGACACGACGACAAGACTCCGCGGCGCGTCTTCCGAACACATGACGACGGTGCGATTACGTTAGTACGTTCGAACGTCTTTTATAGGTACTTTGGCAAGAGTCTGTGGCGGTCCGCGGAAGCGTTTAATATATATATATATATATGTGTGTGTGTGTATATTTATAAAACGATTTACACCGGCGGAATTGGCGTTCGAGACACTTCCGGTCACGCCGATTATTGATATAATATCACGTACGATAATTACTGTTGTTGTCGTTGTTTTCTACCCCGTGAAACGACGACGACGACGAAACCCTACCCGACGGACACACTGTACGCGCGCACTTGCCGCACACGAATGCACGACGGCTGTACACACTGTTACGCGGCGACCGACGACGACGGCGGCGGCGGCGATGGCGATGAGAGAGAGAGGTCTGTACCGTAGCGCGGACGGTCTTGTATTGACTGCCGCGGCGCTCGGCGCTCGTGATAGTTGACGCGCGGCGGCGTCGTCGGCGTCGTCGTCGTCGTCGTCGTCGTCGTCACACCGTCGTCCGCGACACCGCCGTGTCAACCCCGCGCCGTAGTCCCTCCAGCACCCTTCGGCGATTCCGCCAGCGCCCCCCGCGGACGTGCGCGTACTACCTACTCGAGTTTTCGCGAGGGAAAATTATTGTTACGACCCTATCACGCCAGCCCACGGCACACGGTTTTCTTTCACGGTTTCACGACGATATTATTATCATCTACGAGTACTACGCAATACGCATATCGCACTCGCTATCACACGCGTTATTGTGCAACGCGTAAAAAATATCGTAAGCGATTGTGTTGTAGACGAATACAATATCAAACATATCTGTTTGTTTGTACGTTATACATAATACAATCGGTATTGGCATTTGTAACACCCTGACCGACGTAATGTTACTACACGAGTACACGACAATAATTTATTGTTAAAGGATAAAAACGTTTTGCGGAATCGAAATCATTTTAGTACCCGTGTGGTCAACGGCACAGTGTCATAAAACGATATGCACCGATACGATCGGATTCGTCGTAAATACGCGTAACTCGAGTAACTGTTTTTTTTTTTTTTTTTTATCCCCGTCAGGTACCTAGGATATTGTTATCGATGTATCACACTACTATTCGCGCCGTACACGCGAGCACATCGCATGCGCAATCTGTTATTATCGTGTCTAGGAGACGCGTATACTCGTATATTGCCTATAATGAGTAAAAAAAAAAAAAAAAAACACTCATTTCAGGCGTTACCATAATATTATGATCGTACCATACTTTGAACTCGTTTCGAGTTTAAAAATTTTGTCCATTTCAGGTTACTTTATACTCGTGATTTTCAGTTTATAAAAAACAAAACCATGTTTCATACCAAAATGTTATTCTGACCGCTCTCTACAGACTCGTTGAAAACAATTTCCATTTACGACTTTATATTTTCACATACATAGCTTAACCTAATTTGCCTATATTTTTTTAGATTTTTCAACAAATCGACTTTGTACAAATAAATTACATGTTCGGAAATAGTGTTGAGCACTAATAACATTGTATTATACACCACTGTACCTATAAACGGTTTAAAAACACTGATAATACATTGTGAAATAAGAATTTTGGTAGAAAAGGACAGTTTTTATACGGAGTTACTTTTTTGATCCTCTTTAAAAAAAGTTTTATGTAAACAATCAAATTAACAACAGCGAAAAGACGTGTTTATTTTTAGGTTTGTGCAGGTATAGGTAAATATCAATAAACACAAGAAATACAACAACGTGTAATTATTTTTTTTTTAAATTTATATAGCAATATCGTTGTATTGAATCCGAATAAAAAAAAAAAAGTAAAAAAAAATATATTTATTTTGATTCATATTATCTTCTCAACTTCAAGTTTTATACTAATTCAATCAACCCTAATATCTAATTCAACCCACGGCGTTAGTTGTGCGGAACATCAATTCGTTACACGGATGACAGACAAAGATAACAAATCGGAATGTGGTGTCATGGCAATTACTTAGGTAAACCATAATCTTCTTATATAACAGTGTGTAGGTAGCATTATAAAAATGTATTAATAAGTCATCTAGAATAATAATATAATAGTAGTGCGAATTAAACTGATGATACCGGTTATTTACATTTACAAATTACATTTTTTCGTTAAAATATTATAGTTCATAATATTTATCTTATGAAATCGCATTAAACATATTTAAATGTATTCACGTAATATAAAAATATTTCTAATAATAGCTACTTATTACAGTTACTGTGAATAATTCGATGGCTATCAGCACCTTATACAGAAATGTTTAGATTCGTTAATATGTTTCTGCATATTTTTATCTCACTTTTTTTTTTTTTTTTTTTTGATTAAGAAGAATGTAAATGAAACAAAAATAATATTTTAATTAATAAATGTATAAGAAAGTTTATTTATATAAGGTTTCAAGATTATTCTAATATACCTTATCGACATCAATTATTGATAAAGGTGATATTTTAAGATCCTAGGGAAATATCAACAACTAGCTTGTTTTGTTATTATTATAGTATTTATTTAGTGTTTATTAAGTAATTTTATATATCCTATAGTAGATATAATAATAGCATATATAAGTTGTTAAATATTTTATAAAAATTATATCATTAGGTCAGATTTTTCAGAACAAAAACAATTAAACGAAATAAATATGCAATTTATTACAGTATTATTATATTGTATAACTATTGATAATTACGTGAATTGTGTATCTACTAGATAAACTTACATACCTATTTGTCATAATATGTATTTCACAGTTAGGAACTATCAATATTTTCTATTTATCACAATATTTATTTTATATTAAACAATTAAAAAAAAATTTTTTTTAAATAAAAATATTATAAGTTTCCTTCTTATAAACTACTTATATTATTTTTCTGAAAGAATATAATAAATTATGTTCCGTTCTAAGTCAAAAATAGTAAATTCTACTCGCGTTCAGCATTTGAGATAAAGATATTTTGTATTAAATTTTGCCTGAGGTTTTATTTGTGAAAAACGTTAGTAATAAATTTTTCGTGCATTGTATAGAATATAATAAAAAACGATTTATTTTTTCAAATCTATAACGATTATTGATATATAAAAAATAATTAAATAAAAATCCGGTGGATTAAGTAATAGATTGACATCCATAATTACTAATTTACGTCAGTATTTGAATTGCATTTTATAATAATTAGTTCGTTTATGATACTTTATTTTATTTAGAAATGTTATGTTTTATTTAAAGTCAATTAGTGTTTACTTTGTAAACTTTTTCTTGTTTGAATATTGTCAATTTTAAACTTTGTATTGTGATTTACTTTATAATTTGACAAATAAATTGATATTATTTTTAAAACTTTTATACATAACTATACATTAAATATTTACATAATATTATGCATATATACAACTATTATTTTTCTTTGATTTATAATCAGAGAAAGACAGGTATTCAACGTAAAAAATATCAAAAGCTGATTAAAAACTGGTTATGGTTTGAAAGATAAATTAATAAATTATAAAATGAGTATATCAATATCAAAATGACATCTATGATAAAATAGGTGTTCATATAAAAATTCAATTTTTAATTTTGTCAATTAATAACTAGGTTAAATTTAATTATAAAAATAAGAATTTTCCATTATTATTAACAATTTTCAATATTTTTGATGAAGTTCTCGATGAAATAATACCTAATAATAATTCAACATTATTAATATTATTAAAACATGTGATTATAAATTATAATTTATTAATATTTTGAAATAAAACGTTTTCTAAAACTCGTAATGTTAAATTTGTTTTTAGCACGGAAAAATAAAATAAATAAAAATAAGTTAAAAACAACATTTTAGACATATTGATTGATGTTGTAACATACTATATAGTTATGTATACACGTTCACACACATACACACAGTTACAATTTATATATATTTATATATAATATAAAGGTATATATACATTCGATTTCGAAACACCAGTATGACAAACGGCCATCACTCAATGTCTGTAAGAAATAAAATAGGTAAACAAAATGGATTCTGTATGAAATCCTTATGATTAGATTTATGTTGTATAAAATTAGAGGGAAAAATCGTCTCTCGTAAAAGTTGACTGGAATACAGAGTATAATGTATTTTTTTGCAACTGAGAAAATAATATCAAGTATGCTAAAACTGTTGATGACTTTTTTTTTCTTTTAGACAAAGAAATGAAAAATGGTAGCAATTACACGTTTTGAAAAAATACTACTTACTGTTGTACATTCAATGTTTTTTTTTTCACCCATACTCCATGTTCCACATCGATACACATACATGTATAGTTGATGTTAATCTTTACCAGCTATCATAATTTATTCTTTGTTCATATTCACTGTTTATCTGTTATGTGCATTTATTTATTTATTTTTTTTTTTTTTAATCTAGTGACTGGATAATTCAGATTTTTTCGACTAACGAGATCAGCCAACTCAACTGATTACCATTAGTCAATAAAATTAAATAACGCATTTTAACATTGAATATTCATATCGATTATAATTAAAATACCTATGTTTTTACACGCAAGTTTTCAATATTAATATAATGTCTTCGATATGGTTTATTATAAAATAATAAAAACATGAACATACATAATAAAAAAATATCTAGCTATTTTAAAGTAGTTCATTTAAAGTAAATTGCTCATTTTTAATTTATGTATTTTAACTTTTAAAACGAAACAAGATATATAAATTTAAAACTGTTTTTATTAGTTTATTTAATTTAGAATCATTTCCTACATCTCTATTTGATTTTGTATGTATTACTTAAATGTTGTTATTTTGTATTTTATGGATTCATCGTATTTACGCATTTCAGATATTATCTGATTTAATCTAAACGTTTAGTATGCCATAAAAAATAGAGGTTAGTCAAAAATAATTTTATAATACACGTAGGTAGCTATTAAATGTTTATTAAATTATTTATTTTATATTAAAAACTGTACCTACCTGAATTTTATAATAAGCTATCCAACAACATTTATCGATTACTCAGTCAGGTAAGAACCTAATTAAATCACTCAATTATATTTAATATACCTTTATTTATATAAATAAATTTTAACGATTGTGAAAATTTTAATATCGGAATTAATTTGAAAACGCACTTTTAGTGGGATTTTATAAATCTAAATTTATTTAAAAGTTATAAACCCCAAAATTGATTAAGAATATTTAAATTGTTTTACTATTATTATTTAATTAAGAATACATTTTAATTAATAAAAATACTTAAATTAACTAACATAACGAGAATTTAAATTATATTTCAACATAAATATCATATTATTATGCAATCTAAAATTATAATTATTTTTAATCAAAGGAAGAATAATTCTTTAATACTTGGATATATAATATTTA